CGTGCTACATTTGTAGACAGGTTGGGTTGCTAGCATTTGGAGTTAAATGAGGAGCTCCTACACACTGAAACCAGGAAGAGCTCCTGGAGGCCACTGCTAACGGGAATCCTCGCGGCCGGGCTGGTGCTGGCTCGTGGGCACCCTCCTGGCCCACACTGAGCAGCAGGAGCTGTGCACAGTGAGAAGCCATCTAGAAGCAAAGCAAAGACTGAGGATGTCCACAACTAACATCCTTCAAAGGTGGACCCACTTCAAAGGCGGCTGACGCTGCGCAGATAAGCGAATCTGTGAGAGTGGCAGCCCGCGTCCCAGACAGTCACCATCAATTCCTTCCCTCCTGGTGGCCAGCGGATCCTCCTCTGGGAGGTGGGGTCCATTCCTCCACCAGCACCCCTGGAACCTGGGCTGGCCTAAGTGATGTCCTGCCCAGCCAGAGGCAGCGGGAATGATGTTTGGGGCGGCCAGGGCCAGGGCCCAAGGAGCCTGGCTGGAGCGCTCGCTGCGAGGGCTTGTGGCAGCCGCTGAGGCCTCCGCACCCGCAGAGGGCGCTGCTGGCCAGGCAGCTGGCGCCGGGGAGGGAGCGACTGCACGTTCGGAGCCTGGAAGGTGCCCGGCAGGCAAATGTCCAGGCTCCAGCCACCCAGCAGAGGCCCCAGGCGGGGTGGAGCAGGGAAGGGCCACCCTCGGTGTGCTCTGGTGCCTTTCAGGCCTCTGAAGTTGCAAAGCAGCAGCAGATGCCTGCGAGCACTGGTTTAGCGGCTCCTGCTGAGAACAGAACAGGGGTCAGGGGGCCAGAACAAGGTGGGCAGACGTGTACACCGGGCACGCGGTGCATTTTGTCGTCACCCTTTCCTGTTCCCCCACAGCATTGCGCTCACCCCTCCGTTATAAACCTCACTTCTGGCGATATACCCAAAGAAACCCAAAACACGACTTGTAAAGAATGTATGCACCCCTAGGTTCATTGCAGCATCATGGACAATAGCCAAGGTTGGAAGCAACCCAAGCGTCCACCAACAGCCGAGTGAATAAAAAAGTGGTACATATAGAGGGTGTCCCCCAAAATGTATACACACACTTTGAATAATTATAAAGGCAGTGTTTATTAACACACATATCATTTTCAAAATTGAGCTATCAGCTGTTAAAGTGTGCATACATTTTTGGGGACCATATATATGTTATATATATAATATATATCTAATATCTATATTAGAATATTACTCAGGCATAAAAAAGAATGAACTCTTATCTTTTGTGACAGCATGCTAAGTGAATAAGTCAGAGAAAGACAAATACCATATGATTTCACTTATATGTGGAATCTAAAGAACAAAATAAACAAAACAGAAACAGACTCATAGATACAGAGAACAAACCGATGGTTGCCAGTGGGGAGGGGAAGGGAGGGTTGGTGAAAAATGTCAAAGGGGTTGAGAGGTACAAACTGGTAGTTACAGAACAGTCACAGGGATATAAAGTACAGCATAGGAAATATAGTCAATAATATTGTAATAACTAGGTGTGGGGCCAGGTGGGTACTTGAAATATTGAGGGGACCACTCTGTAAAGTACATGATTGTCTACTATGCTGTACACCTGAAACTAATACAGAATAATACTGAATGTCAACTGTGATTGAAAAATTTTAAAAATAAAAATAAACCTCACCATGTTGCATTAAGGAGACAGCATAGCATATTACTCAAGAACCTGGTTTTTACAGTCAAACAGTCTTTTATTTGAATTACAGTTTTATAACTTCTACTAGCTGAGTGACAGTGAGCAGGTTGCTTAGCCTCTCTAAGCCTTGGCCTGTTAAGTGAGAATAACATAAATACTACGAACATCATGAAGCATTTAAGATTAAATTCATAATGCATGTAAAGCACTTAGTGCTTGTGGTCACATATTCACGTTGTGGTCAGTCAATCAAATGGTAATGATGAGCCCTGGAGGACAAGCACCTGATCTTACACATCTTTAAATTTATTGTACATTTCAGTGCCTGGAGCACAGTAGGTGATTAATAAAGGCTGTTGAGTGAATGACACAGTGGAACTCTGTTATAAACTTTAAAACGGACCTTTTTAACACAAAGGGCTGCTTTACCAGTAACTTATTTGGAGACAAGCATTTTAGGACAGTGGAGCGTGTCATCACCAGGAAGTCCTAAGTGAGAATAGCGTGTCAGTGAGAGAGAAAAAATCAATTCAATTGCTTTTGGCATTCAAGACCTCCAAGGGCTGCCCCACCAGTACAGCCAGTCTTGACACATGTGCAAAGTGACTTGCCCAAGGCCGTCCACTCACCTGAGGACCAGAGCCCCGTCCAGAACTCTTTACCCCCTTACTATGGCATCCTTCCCTTCTTCCTTTGCGTTTCAGGGTCAGTCAGTAGGGTCAGGACTGATCACTATTCTCGTACACAAAGGGATTGGGCAGCTCAGGAGAGGCAGTGGGAGAGCCTGTGAAAATGCAAGACCCACCTGTAGGCCGCGGAGGTTGTGTGTAGACCTTTCCCTTAAGCACCTATCCCACGTGCCATCATGACTCTTGCACTGGGATGGTCACCCAGCTAAAAAGCCCCTTTCATTAGTGGTTTTAGGTCTAATATAACCTATGCAATTTCACTTTTCTGTAGTTCAGGTTCATGGTTTTATCCCAGTTCACAGGCCTTTCTTGTTTCACTGGTCTACGGCATAAACGTGTCCTGTTCCTAACTAACTTGACTGTGTTGGGTGAGAAATAGTAGTTTCTTCTTTGGTTTAGTGAACATGGGGTACACAATGTCTCAATTAAGTAAGTTATGCAGTTTTAATTATTTTTAAGTCTCAAATGAGTGATGAAATATAGATACCAATCAAGCAAACTTCAGGCTTCTTCAATTCCTTCTTTTGTTTCCTTCAAAATAGTAAAGGCTGCCGTTCACAGCTCCAGTGTGGACAGTTCCACTTAGCGGCATTTCTCTCTTCTAGAATCAAAACAGGGTCCGCAGGAAAATAGTGCGTGGCTCTCACCTCTCTGTCCTGGCAGTACATTTCCATGCATTGCGTAAGATGTCATCAGCCAAAGAACGTCGTCCAAATAATATGCAAAAGACGACAGATGTGCAGGCTGGAAAAATTCAAGTACATTCTTTACTGGTGATAAGGGGAACAAGGCCAGCTGGGGCCTTCCCTCTTCCTCCCCCTCCTCCCTGTACAACCAGGACTCGTTTCTACTCATTTCAAAAGATTTCATTTAGAGCCAAAAAAGTCAATTCATCAAACTTCCCTAAGAAAAAACAAATGACAGGCAAGGGGGTGGGGGAGATTGGGGAAACCCAGATGTGCAAATTCTGAAACTCGCAGCTGTGCATCCACACCTGGGTACAGCTGTTTCCAAGAATGGCGGTTTCTGTTGTTCATCTTTAAATCTGGAACCACGAAAAACTGTGACTCGGTCTTTATCTTCGAAGTTAGAATCCTTGCTTAGGATACCTGAATCTCATACCCAGTACTTACAAGATTTAGGAGAAATTCTTTTGAATCCTGACAGGCTAGTTAATGGAGTTCTATGGGAGGTAGAGAGAAGGTAGGAGGACACTGGATTGAGCAACAACTGAAAATATTTATATGAATTTCTGAGGTCAATGAACTCACCACATTCTACTCAACTTACATGAGAAAATAATTATGTGGGATTTAATACACAACTCAAGATTAACACTAGGTCATGTTAAAAAGAAGTTAATCCAGGCAAAAAGTATTTGGCCACCAGGAAAAGTCAGTTTTGCTCAGAATGTGATACTAACAAAACAAAACAAAAATTACAAGGCTGGTAGGACTTTTAGGATCCAGTCATAAGGTTGTTTAACCTGATGGCTTCCACAGTAGCGGCATAAATGATATGGGAGGAAACATACAAGACCCATCACAGCTGCACTTCCTGTTGAACTGGAAGATTCTAAAGCTTGTTTTATTTTTACTTGACTATTCAAGTATTTGGAAAATGTCCAGAAAGCAAAAAAATCTTTTTTCCTGTTCCCCCCCACACACCAGTTTCTACTACAGAAATTACTTCTAATTTTTTACTTGCATTTATCCATGTATTTGCTATAACATAGTATAAGCAAATTTCAAGGCTAGTAAAACCAATCAAAATTAGTGTCATAAAGGGTTTAAGGAGAGAGGCTGTTTCTCATCAAGTCACGTCCAATGAAGACAGAGGACTCATTTTAACGACTTGTCAGAAAGAGGCTCAGTGGTAAACAGGCATCACACGCAACGGCAGGTTGAAGAGCAAACTGCTGATGTGAAGGATCTGACTTCCCCACAGCTTTTATTTTAGCCAAGGTCAGTCGAGGACATCTGGGGTGTCCGGTTGTGCTCCCAGAAGTAAAATTTGAGATCTAATTTCTCGCTTGCCACAATCTGCATCATCAGACTTTATATCTAACAATCCGATGTTTCTAAGCTGGAACATTTTAGCTCAATTTCCTCTTGAGTTAGCTGCTGGGAAGTCAGGGCCAGATTTGCAAGCCTACTTCTAACATGCATTTTGTGTACAGAGTGCACTCCTGTTTTAATATTTTTTTGTTTCCCCTTTATTTAGACCACATGGCTTATTCTACATAAATTTTACCTTTGCATTACATGTGGCTCTGTAAACCCTCTTAAAACTTTCTGGGTCAAGGTAATGCATAAACCAACCTGAGATACATTTTGCTGTTATCGGGATTAAAGTGGATCACGCCTACTATGTACCATAGGCTGGTTCAAGTCAAAGATCTGAGATTTAAAAAATGGGAACATTTCTTAGCAAATTCATATTCTCCCTAGGGTAAGACTCAACTTACAGAAACCTGAACTGCAAGAATTAAAAGGAAAGATGGGTTCAAAGTTCCCCAAAAAAATGTTTCCAGAGGCTTCTGAAATTCCCAAGAGGTTCATTAAAAACAGAACCACTCATGTTTAGAGCACAGTCTGACTTGGCCGTGGTACAGTACAGCACACAGGGTAACCAGAGGTGGAGTCTTTATTTCACAAGGTTCAAGATACAGTACAAAACGAATCTGTACATCTCTCTATTAACAGGGTTTGTTTACACAATTATATTACACTTCACCAGCCTTTATACTGTATTTAATTAAATACAAAATAAATTTACAAAAAAGTCTACCATGGTGTTCCTCCCAATGTCAGCTTATGGTCTTTCAAAACTTTTCCTGAATATTGATAGTGGTTACACCTTGATCATATCGACACTGATTTCTTTGAATCAAAGAGAACAGTGCCAGCTTGCTCGTCGATCCAAGTAGGAAAACAGCACATGTGAGATGTCTCCTTGCACGTAATAACCAAGACGCCCTTCTCATGCAAACAACATCAGATTTTTACTTGTGCAAATAGTCACTTTAAAATACAAATCATTTTTATTTGGGACATTTTAAATTTTCTTGAAATATCAAGTGGAAGGAGAAATTTAGTTTCTTTTTGATGACTGCTACACATTAAAAATTAGGTAGTGCCTCAGATCACATGGTATTCAGAAATTTTTTATTTTCATTTATATTTGAGAGCAATGGCTGATAAAAAACATCTTCATGAAAATAGAAGTTTCTTTTGCTTTATTTCTTGCACACCTCTAGTCATAATATTGTGCAACATGTATTAAGTTCACTTTCAAAACAAATACGAGATGTCATTGGGGCAAATGTAGTCCACGTTGCCCTTCCTGGCAGGTAAAGGGTCTGCTCTACTGGAAGCATTTTATTTTCAAATGTGGATGTGAAATGTCAGTCCAAACCTCTGTACAGGAAGTGTTTTGCAGATGTAGCCAGACAATGATACACATGCTACACACAGAGGAGTTGTGGTCTTCATTTACAGGCCTGCATGCACACCTCCAACACACTGGCCCGAAGAACAAACATGAGGACCCAAGGAAGAAAAAAACAAAGCAAGGAAAAAATCCTGTACAGAATACTTGTTTCCTGGAGGTAACGGCAGCCCTTTAATTAAATAAAGCATCAGATCACTGCCAGATCACACGTGAAAGCTTTTACAACTTCCCAATGGTACGGAGATAAAACAGCTCAGCAGTAAAACTCTCACAAATTAACCTTATGTGCACAAGGGTAACACACCGTCAAGAGTATTAAGATTAATACATGTTAATCTCATTTAAGTGTTAATAACAAACTTTGAAAAAGGAGTTTTGAATTACTTCTTCTGTGCCTTTGAATAATAACCAAGAATAAGATACACCTCACTCAGAAATTAGAAATGAAAACTTCAAACACAAAAAGAAAAAAGCAAACCCAAACACCAATGCTACCTTCGCACCACAAAATGGAAGCAAAACGGAGTCTCAAGACTCTGAAACAGTCGAGTGAACCACCACCAAACGCACGAGCGAGTGCGAGCTAAGCGGACAGACTAGAAACGGGACGGGAGAGAGGGGCTACCGCGGAGAAATGAAGCCTCGCTCCGTCTGCTAACTCTAAATGCTACCATTAGAACTCCTGAATCCTGGAGTTAGTTTCATGTCACTGACATTAACTAGCTTTAGTTACTGTCATTTTATTCAAATGGATGCCATTTGATTAGGTTAAAGATTGAGTATTATTTTAGGAGAAACACCAAACCAGTTCCTATTGGCTTGGGTACGGGGAGAAGGGAGCAGAGTATTCTGAGATAGTCATAAGGACTGATGACACGAAGCCATAGGAACTAAGTTCTTTTAAATACACTGTTCGAATTTCCAGCAGCAAAAGAGGGTAAAACAGGAAGTGGAAAAAAGTTAAGAAAGGGATATTTGAAATATTAATAATAAAAGGACAGGGCAAGTGGTAAACTGACTGCCCTTTCCCATCTAGCTTTCGGGAGTAGTTAGTGCACGCTGTTGTATGACATGCTTTTTCAAAGGATTGATGGAGGTAAGTAAAGATAGAGAGAAAAATGCTGCTAAAGGAGAAATGAGGTGGATGGCAGAGGGGAAAAAATGGAAGTTTGGTCGTCTCAGAGGTTTTTAAACTTTAAATCAATGAAAACCGTTCCTCTGAAAGGAAGTGTGGGTCATACTGACTCTGCAGAGTGGGGGGAGGCAGCAGAGGAGCCCACAGATCCCATCCACTGCACTCGAATCTCTAAGTGTAAGAGATCCAACAAGCCGTGATATTCACAAGAGCTGCCCAAAATGGCACTATACTTCTTGAGGGTAACATTTCCCACCTTTCAGATATGCTTTTAGACACAGGGTTCTCGCTGTGACCGCCTCTTCAAAGTTGAAGGCGATTATCTGGGAGGAAAGATTGCTCACCAGCTTTCTCCTAATACTCTAAACAAAAAAAGCACACAGCTTCACATTTAAAGCCCTCATGTTCATTACAGACTAAATCTGTTCTAAATACAATCCCAACTTCAAGAAGCAAAGTCTTACCACTCTACAGGTAATAAACTCCTCAGGTTTTCTGGCAGATGAGAGGTTGTGGAAAGAGAGTATAAAGGTTAAGATAAACAGACTGAGGTCAGTGGGCCTAGAAAGTTTGCTTAGGTATAAACATAGCCTCAGATATAGGCTGGTGAACACCACCATGTGACAATGGGAAGAAATACAAATTTCCATTTAATTTTTTCATTTGTAGGCTATGTGAAGTTCTCAAGTTTTCTTCGTTGGAGTTTTCCATACAATTTAACCAGACAATTCTCAAGTGGAATAGCCTTGATTTTCCTCGTGTCCACAGTGGGAGGGTGGGGAATAGGAGAGCTAAGCAAGAAAGAGGCTCTTTCTATTGGAACGTACAACTGCAGAAGTGAAAATCTACCTGAGCAGTGCGAACAGGCTTTGGCTTTCCTCAACCACTGAGTCTCATGCGTCCTAGATTCCCTGTCTCAGTTTTAGTATTATCATGGTAGTCACTGTATGCCACATCCGGCAACAACATTTCATACTTAAAGAATTCGGGAGGATGATCTGTTCCTTTGCAATAAGAAATGCAAACTAAATAAACCCTGGGAGCAAATGCGTCAACTTTGGGGGAAGAATCTCTATGACCCTGGTACCCCAAGCAGAGTCCTATAATATTGCTTTCTAATTTCTCCCATTTAGTCCATCCTCTGGCTTCCAGATCAAAGCTCTGTATACTCAAAACAAACAAGCAAATTACATTAAGTGGGTGGGGCAAATGCCCGTGTTAGCTCAAGGACTCGGTTGACAATGTTTTATAGACATTCCATTCCAAAGAAATGCAGCTCACACACAACTCTAACAAGGCCTTTCGGTCTTTGAAGGAGAGAAGTGTGGTATAAAGTATGACAATCACCAGCATTCAGAAACCTCCCTTCCTTCCCTTTTAAAATAACAAGTGTGCTAAAAATGTATACTTGCGTGTGGATTGGTGAAAGTTTCTCCTATGGCCGTTCCGAAACACATTGAAGACTTGTTTTGTTTTGATTTTTACCTAAAAAGCAAGTTCTATTTCCAGACTTTCAAACATTTTAAGGTTAAACTTGCGATTAACTGGGTTTTCCTTTTCACAGAGATCAGTTTTTAGTGTCAATGCACAAGACCTTAAAGATGGTTGATTGGAGAACTGATGCACACTGAGAATGACTGGAAGGACCCAAGAAAGATTGGATACAGTAGACATTACTTAGAGTGTCTCACATATGTTTCCAGAACAAACAAAAAAAGGAAAGCCACTGAGAGTTGTTATTCCAAACGGCACTGAAATTAACTCAGTTTAGGTAAGAGTCACTTATCCCTGAAAATAAAGGCATCAGATTCTAAGCAGCTTTAGGAATTCAACCTTCCTTGTGCCTCTTCCAGGAGGTGGCCACTGAGCCAAAGTCCCAAATCAGACGCCGGTGTTGACTGCAAATGATTCCCTTGGTTGTCACTGATCGAGGCTGGCCACGGTGCTGTTACTGTGGTGGTGGCTGCTCCGGGGGCACGTCCTGTGGCGGCGGTGCTGGCCGTGGCCCCGGCGGCCTGGGCGCAGGCATGTCCTGGTGCTGCCTCTGCCTGTAAGCTATCACTGTTCCCAGCAGCAATGCAATGATAGTCATGAGGTAAAGGTCCCATTCGGGTCCCAAAAGCTGGTCCATATCAAGCTGGGTGAATATATCTCGAATCTTAATGGAATAATATAAAAGTCATTATGATCACTAAAGTGTCAGAGAAGGAATCAGGAAAATTACATCACAAGTTAGAGATAAATACAGAACTGATTAAAATAATGGGCTTTAGGGACATTTTACAATGTGTTTTTTGTTTTTAAAAGGTTTTAAGAGCCTTGAACTGAAACTCAAAAAATAATGTGTCTTAGGAACTGAGCTATTATTTTATAACAGTTGATTATAGGAAGCATCTTTCCATCAGCAATCTAATGCACTCATTCCCAACCATTTTTCATAGGAAATACCTGAAAGAACACTGGGGACAATGGAGGCTCAAGGAGAAAAAGGTCAGTGTCTTGGCACACCTGTAACCTATGTGTAGTAATGCACATCAGCTAAAGCTCTGTGCTAATGACAGAGAGGCTACTTTATCACTTCTCTCATGTACCTGAAGATGGCAGAGCTCAAATGTTTAATAGAGGAATGAATAATACTTTTTAGTTAGGATTTAACTAAATATCTAACACCTCTATGATATTTTAATGGTTATAGTGTCACTTAAGTGATTCTGTTACTTTCTGACTGCCATTTATTCACAAAGTAAACATGGGGTATAATGCTTGTATTTAAATAAAACTATATTTAAAAGGTCCCCATAATACACACACACACACACACACACACATATGTATATATATACACGTAGGTAGGTACAGCACTACATTTTTCTGGAAAGAAATTATAAGAAACTATTAACTGTGTTTCCTGGGCAGGGAACAGTGATGGCAGATTTCATGTTTCTCTGACTATTTGACTTTCTTGCCATCAACACTTACTACTTCTTTTTAAGTTAGAATATCTACATGGTAGGATTATGGGGCACTTTACTGTCTTTATATTTCTGTCTTAATAAAAACAATAAAGATATAATGTCCTTGTTTTGCATGACCAACTCCTAGACTGTCAATAGTCCATCAGTCTTAAACGTTGTGAGACAGGAACTGGAGCAGCACTGACAGAGAAAGAGCATGTTGCCACACTGGGAGCTCTTAATTGGAGGAACGAAGATCCTTTCAATTAGCAGAGGGTACAGCATGCCCTGGCTCATGCTATCACACAATTATAAACTTGCCATTACTAATGCATAAGCTATCGGGAGGACAGAGCCCAACGTCTCCAGTCCTCTGGAGCCCTGTATGCGGAGGCCCCCAGCCGCACAGGCTAGGGCTGCGAGACGGGGAAGTCAGCTTTCGCTTTACAGACGCAGGAGCGGCATGGACTGCATTCACATCTGCGTAGCCTAGGAGGGAACGCGTTCTGGAATCCGGTGCTGAGAGAGGGTACATGGGTCCTGAAAGCTGTTAACTAAAGGTTGCAACATCTCCTTCTCTCGTCCGGAGTGAATTCGAGTTAAATAGCCCTTGTTTCCGCATACATTTTAAGACTTTCAGAGTCAAATGCTGCACTAGTTAATCCAGTAAGAGGAGCTATAGGTATTGGAAACAAAATGTACAGCTGGAGAACCCAAGAGCACCTACATCTAAGTACTGTTAACTAGTCGGTAGTTCTGAAGAGAATGGCTAACCCATCTCCTACCTAGGTTCTACCTTTAGCTTATTTAAATAGCTCAAGGTATTTTTAGGGAATGAAATCCTGGTGGCAGTTTCACCATGTTTCGCCCTCACAAGAATGTGAAGCACAACAGCTTGGGCAGGTTCTCAGGTTCTACTACTTTTCTAAACTCCCTTTTTAAGGGAGGTCTGAGGCACTGCGAGGCAGAGTTTCAGATTGCCACGAGGTAGTTTCAGTCTTCCCCAAACCACAAAACATTTGCATCAATGCAAGATACTTTGGCACTAGGAACCACTGGTCAAATGCCACCTGAGAACTGTTAACTGCTTTGTGGCTATGTTCATCCCTGGCCTGAGAAGGTCTGCAGATACTTCACCTGGGGAAAGAAGGGAAGAGCCCTGGCACTTGCAGGACACTCCTCCCCTCTCCCACAACATTTAAAATGCAAGCTTCTGAATGAGCTTACATCATTTGTATTTAACTGAAAGAGGCATAGGCCACTTACATTTGTTTCTCGTATGTACTGCAAGAAATAGACGACACCCAATTTGCAGAGTGCTAGGAAGACTGGTACTTGTGCATCTGGGCTGGCCTCGGCTGCCATGTCATAAAAACGTTTTGCAAGGTGAATATCCTATAAGATAGGAGATAAACCAAAATTAATTTCTTGTTAAAATAAGAATAACTGCTTTTCAGTTTATACATTGGAAAAATTTATTTTGCCTTTCAAGTTTCATTTTAAAATTTCCCTCACCTAAAGAAGAAAACCCATGTTTTAACTGGGTAATAGTTCTTTAATAACCTAACTGCTTAGTTTGGAAAAATTTAACTGAAAAATGTTAAGTCTTCACTCATGCTCCCCCAATCTGACATCCACTTGCTGTATAGACTTTCTGAGTTAAATGCCACACAGTCTTACATCTACACATAACTCTGTTAACCTGGGCCATTCCCAGGGGTGATCTGTAAGTCGCAAGTAAATTTTTTCCTACTTAAAACCAGTCAATTCTGGGTTTCAGTTTGTAGCAATGACCTTCAAACTGGAGTAGACATACTCAAAATTACCCAATGGACACTGTTAAGAGATTTGAATCCTGTGTTTCCCTGTCTGAAACATATTTCTGTGAAGGGAGCAGAGCGGGGGACTGGGTGAAAAAGGTGAAAGGATTAGGAAGTACAGATTGGCAGTTATAAAATAGTCATGGGGATGTAAAGTACAGCATAGGAAATATAGCCAATAATACTGTAATAACATGTGTGGTGCCAGGTGGGTACTGGAAATACGCAGGAAAACAGCTTGTAAACTATGTGATTGTCTAACCACTATGCTGTACACCTGAAACTAATACAAAATAATATTGAATGTAAACTGTAAGTGATAAAAAAAAGTTAAAAAAGAATCAGAAATAAGTTTATCAATAGCAATCATCTTGATTCATTTCAAAGTAATTTAGAAACAACAGACTTTGTCCCATTGTCAGTGGACAGTTTCTCAAACGAGGAGTTACCAACAGAGTCTGCAGTGCATTTCTGTTTTCATGAATCTGTTTTTGGCTTAATATCCTTAATATAACAGCATGGAAATCAATATGTATGTGTGCTGGAAGATGAGAGAATGCGAGGGCAGTCTTTTGAAATATTACAAAACTGTCTCATAACTTAGTATCTAAAATCTAAAATCTGAGTACATTCCAAAGGAAGCCTATTTTCTATAAAAATGGAACAAACCACAACTTATGTTATTCAACCATTTACTCTGAAGCCACGCTCACCTGTTTAATGCCCAGTCCTTTCTCATGCATATATCCCAGATTAAACATAGCTTGTGCACTGTGTTGCTGCTCAGACGCGAGGCGATAATGAATAAATGCAGTCTCGTAATCTACGTCGGTGCCGAAGCCATAGAAATGGTAGTCTCCAAGCTTGATTCTAGCCACCGTGTACCCTTAAACAAGAGTTAAGTGCAAAAGTGCCAATAAGTAAAGTGTTTAAAACAGGCCACACTGTTCTTTCTCTTCCTGTTAACATGCTTACATAAAACAGAATTTTAATTTGTAGTAAACAAACTTTACAAGTCCTTCAGCCAAGCTATAAATTCAGTAAAAATTTAACTAGAAGTACTGCTCTTCTGAAGAAGGCTCTGTAATAGGGAGAGGTAAAACAAGGTAGGTGGTACCCCCTAGGTCTCCAGTAATACTCTTTAAATGATCATGCTCTATTCTGTGATGTCATTTACATCCTAAAGTAGTTTAACTGGGCCACTGCTTATGCTTGGAGAAGGGGTGATAGGCACACAATTGGAAAGTAGTGTGCGTGAGGAAGAAATAAACACAAAACGGTGGAGAAAGGGTATAATCTTTAGGGTTTTAGACTAATATTCGATTCTATATTCTATTTAATTCTCATTTACACGATATACTGGGCTCAAATGAAAATCCAGACAGTGAACCGTAGCATGACATAAATGTCCAGTACAAGCACCTTGCAATTCAGTTTAGAAACCCTGGGACTAGAACTTCCAGTATAAGAATAAATACTAATCACGATGCAGACAAGTTAAGCAATAATCTCTCTGCTTAATTTTAAGGCGATGAATGACAGGATTTAATTTTTATGGGAGATTAAATAAAACCCAGAAAATAAAGAGAGGTCCCCAGTTGAATGCTTATTCTTTAATATGAACCACTCACCTTGAGAGGCGGCCCTGTTCCAGTGCAGCAAAGCTCTGGGGTACGTTTCATTCTCACCTACAATGGTTGCTTCTCCTACAGGGAAAGGGGTAATACAAACCAAGCACTGAAGGAAAGGCACTAGACTTTTAGGTCTCATTTGGAAACTAGGGTGAATATGTGGAGTAGAATTTAAATAAGAATTGGGATATAACAAATATTAAATGGAACAAATATTGTATTAAAATCAAATATTAGAATAAAATACTGAGTTCAAAGGAATCACTGCATTTAGGACAACACTGTGCCCTGAAACATGTTTTATCCACAGCACCAATAATGAGACTGACTACTGAACCACTCTGGGATCTACATCTTGCTGGAGAAACAAAGTTTTGTATCTAGTGTATTGTGAAAACGTATTTGCTGAAAGCACTCAATTTTATGATGGATGTCAAGTCGATTTCTACTGTCAACTCTATAAAACTAACTTGGATGGCGTAGAGATCTGAGGGAAAATAACTTCAGCATGGGTGGCAAGTTCTGTTTACAGCAACAAAGAGGTTTCTTTGTGGTTTTTCTTTTTAAACAGGTAACCTGATGCGAACTCTTGCATTCTGAACCTGAGGCAGGACTTGGGTGAAACTTACTCTGGTCGAGAATGAAGGCTGCGTTACTCTGTGCCACTTCATAGCCTTGTTCGGCCAGCAGGAGGTACTGGATCACTGCGGCGTTGTAATCGCCATCTTTATAGCTGTTATAGGCAGTCATAAGCCTCTCGGACCAACGGCCCCGTTCACATACATTCTTAAACAACTGTGAGAACAGAAAAGAAAAAAAATCAATAAAAGAGTAAGAAAGATATGCCAGAAAGTCACTTTTCACATTGGCCACAAGTGAGTGTTAAGCGTGCTCTTTGAAAGTCTGGAAATTTTATTAAATATTTATAAAAGTCTGGGATATATATTTGAAGCTCTCACTTAATCTTTAGAATAGGTTTATACAAATAACAGCAAACAATTATACGCCATTTACACTGGCCAGATGGCCAGTCACTGTTCTCGTGATTTATATATAGTACATATGTTAATTCACTTAACCCTCCCATGAAGTCCACAAGGGAGCACTCTAGCAGGTGAGTCCTATTAACAGCCCCATTTTACAAGTGAGGAAACTGAAGCATAGAGAGGTTTAGAAACTTTGTAAGCATGTATCAGTGTCACTCTAAAGTGCCAGTTATTAGAGCACTAAGGACGAAAAGTTCCAATTAGGCAATATTAGCGCTCCTCTTCACAACATTCATTTAGCATCCAAGCCTACATTTTTTTGACATTATGTCTCAGATAGCGTCTTATGCGCTAGAGAGACAGCAGACATAGTATCTGCCCTTATTAATAATGATTCTAGTTGGGAGGGACAAATGAAATAAATGTGATGGTCACACACAGACCCCCAGAGACTTCCCGCAGTACACCAATGCTAGTAGGCTGAGTCTGTTTCTACTATAGAAGAAACTGCACACAGAAAACCAGATTAAAATGGCAGACTTTCCTACTGGGCGAACAAAATTTCCTGCACAGAACTTGGTAGAACAGCCCTTACCTCCACTGCATTGTGGCACGATCGCATCACACCGGTGCCACTGGCGTGCATCTGTGCCAGGTTATAGAAAGCCAAGATATGGCCTCCCTGAGAAGCCAAGTTAAAATACTTCAAGGCCTGTTTATAATCCCTCTTGACTCCAATGCCATCTGTAAGGAAAATCACACGAAAGGTCAAAAATAGTCTCAAATAAGATTTAGCTGAAGCATCAGAGAAGTAAAGGAGTAAAAGAAAAGAAAATTCAGAATTCTTACTTAGGAAAAATGTAAATCCTATTAATACAGATCTGTACATTAATACATATTAATATAATTCACAATAAAAAGCAAGATGCACAAATCATTGAACTGGGAGAACATTAATCAGCCAGTATTCCATAGTTCTCATTTCCCCATCACAGTGACGTGAAGTGGAAATGAGTAATTTAGATCTTGGTGTATTCATCATTAATCCCACAGTTACTTACTATAATACATAGAGCCAAGCTGGAGTTGCCCATCCACCCAACCTTGCTCAGCAGCTTTCTGGAAGTACTTCAGTGCCAGATCATAATTCTGTAAAAAAAAAGATTATCTCATCACATGTTCACATGAAGAGAAAGCTCAAAAGGCTGAAGTACTCAAAAGTCAGGAGATTCATTCATTAAAAAGAATTAATAGCCTGGCTGGGCATGGCTCAGCGGTTGAGCATCAACCTAGGATCCAGGCCATCAGGGTTCGATTCCCGGTCAGGGCACATGCCGGGGTGCGGGCTCGATCCCCAGTCGGGGGCATGCGGGGGCAGCCTATCAATGACTCTCTCGTCATTGATGTTTCTATCTCTCTCTCCCTCTCCTTTCCTCTCTCTGAAATCAATATATATATATATATATATATATATATATATATATATGAATTAATAAAGCACACAATATAATTCTCGAAGAGCCATTAAAAGAAACACCTTTTAATTTTTATAACAGAAAATAACATACTTGAAGTCATAGGGGGATTAATATGACTGAAGAACAGGAAATGGAGTTTTTGTGGAACAATTTGCATGTTCGCTCTCAGAAAGCACAACCACCACCAATGGAACACAAGGACGGTGTACGCAACAGTCATATATTTTCTATTAATCAACCAGTCCCTCTGAAACCCCAACTCTCCCAATAGTAAACAAGAGTAATTATTTGCTCCTTATGTGTTTCTTCCCTGCGTTATAGTGAACACTACAGGATTATTAAATTTCAAATATCATCTGTAAATGCAGAGAAAAGTTGAAACAAAGATCACTACTGAATTTTAGTATCCTCAAATGACTAGAAGGAATCAATATGAGACATTACTGACTCTTGTGCTGGGGAATGCCTAGAGAATCCCAAGCCTAGCTCTTAGTTTCAGGCCCAAATGAAAAGAACATATTGCTTAGAGATACCCTACAGAAAAGAGAGGAAAGCAAGGAGAATTCAGGGCATCCATGTGAGGAAGCAGCACAGATGAATGAGAACAACGGTCCACGGAAACCAAGAGAGCCTGCAGAACTCCAGGGAAGAGAGCATTCGAGCAACATAAAACCAAACAATGTCAGCCGGAGCTGACACTCAGGAGGTTTCTGGTTACCTATGCAGAGCAGTTACATGAGGCAGAAGCCTGACTGCTTCAGCTCGAGTGAGGGCAGCAGCTCGTATAGCTGATTCTTTGGAGGAACTTGGCTGTGCAGTGAAGGGCCGCAGAGAAGAGAGGTGGCAGGTAGAAGGGCAAAGGGTAGACCAGGAAAAGGGAAGACCAGAAAGCTTTCCTGTTCCTAAATGGGAGTGACCTGAGCATTTTCTTGGACTTGAGAGAAGTACAAGGGAGATGTTTCAGTCTTGGAGAGACGGAAGAGTGGGCAGGGTAGAGAGCATCGGTGGAAGGATGAGAAACAGCTTCACACTTTCAGGAGAAGGTGCCAGAGACAGAGCCATCCTAACAAGGCGGTTGGTATGGCGAGTACAGGGTGAGGGGTGGTAGGGAACCAGGCTCAGGACAACAGGAAAAAGTTCAGGTTTGGTTATAATGAAATGGCCTGCCTAGGCTGACGGGAAGCTGGTTAAGGGCTACTTCCCTACCTCATCAGCTGCCTACTTGTTAAACTCAGAATGTCAGATGGGAAACTTACAACTTGAACTCCTCTCCCATAGAGGTAAGCCATTCCGAGCCCACTCTGTCCAACTGGGTTGCCCTGCAAACCAGAGACAAAAGAGTGAAAGAATTCATTACAAAGTAGGCAAGACTAAATGCCTGCGAAGAAATAATTTACAAGCATATTCAAAACATGCCTTAGCACTTTTCAATTCAAAACAAAATTTTCTCCTTCCCAGCGGGCTAAACATAACACTGACTTTTAGATATTTGGGGGCTTTCAATAATTTGCTGAAAAGAGTAAATAATAAATTCATTTAGAATTAAATTTTGGTGACTTACCTTATGACCATCTGTTCCATGCATTTATGATATAAAACATAACTAACGTTATCTCATCTTTTAAGGACTAAAGAGCAGGTCACTTTTTTCGGTAGTCTTTTTATTAATACCCTCCCTTCCCAATAAAAAAGGAAGATGCCATGAGGCAGAGTCAACCACCATGTAATAACAGCAATACTGAGGTCAGGAGACAAGGATATGCTTAAGATTATTGGAGTGTCGCAAACCAAAGATGATTGTTTTGAGACTTAAAAGAGAAAAACCTAGAATTCTCCTAAAGTCAGGGGAACAGAAGACATCTTCAAAAAAGTGGCACAGCATTCCTTTGGGAAATACTCAACTGACACTTAGAACTACAGTAAGAGGTAGTTGGCAAAGAGATAAGTGTACACACTGGAGGCGTATAGGGTCTTACGTATTCATAGGTCTATTTCTTTGCACCAGAGAAAGCCTAAAATATGTGCTGTGATTATCAAAAGTACCCAACTGTGTAAGTATTAAACCTCAAGTTGCAACACAGATAAGGTAAATTATGTAACTATCAATTCCATTACTAAAATCACATTTCCCTGATCAGGAAATTTCTCAATAAAATTTTGAGAGACTTAATATACAATAATCTGATCCCTAAAAAAAAACCTGTTTATTGGGAAGATTTCTCCTAGTCAATTCATTCACATGAATCCTGCTTACATAACTGCTTTCAGTAATCTATGGCACGACGGTGATATTAGCCCTTTAACATATATATTTACTATTCAGAATAATGGTAACACAGCACACATTGAATGCACTGAGCCCCAGGTCTTACCATGTCAGCCGCTTTCTTAAAGTAGTGAAGCGCTGTCTCATTGCTCTGGGGCACAGTATCACTTCCCTCTGAGTACATCTGGAAGGCAGACACCAATATTAAGAGCAGTAACCCTTTCTCCAAGTTCAGTTTTCTCCTTTCTTGTCTCATTCTGGTTTATTAGACCTTAAGAAATCTTTCAACAAAATTAAAAATTCCCCATAGGATATTTTAGAATTAAAAGCAAAACCTTAAAAGTAGACATTTTTTTACATTAGTACACATTCTATGACATATCAAATGTATGACTTACCTATAAACATAAATGTATAAAATCAGTTTATAGATCAATCTCGAGAAGAAATCTTTAACCCCCAGAGGAATCTTTTTTCTCACTCTATCCCAGGGCAGTTAAATGGGTGGGCAAGTTGCTTGGGATCAGTGATTAAACGAGGAAAGGAGAGTTGTCAGCAATATGTTTTCCTTCCCCGTCTACCACTACTTTCCCTGGGCTGAGATCAAGGGTAGTCAAAGTTCAGGAAAAGAAATAACTAAATGGTTATTTTAAAAGGTTTCAAGGACCAAATGGTTAAGTCTCAGGTATAGAACATGATGAAGGGCAAAGAGAAAGAACAGAACGACTGATACTGTTTTTATCCATGTACGCATTAACAACAAAGGACATCATTTTTGAGATAAGGCTAGTTAGTAATTAGAGCAAAAATGGAAAGAGCTCAGATGAAAAGTTCTTAAATGCTTAACAAGAGTAGTGAGGAACACCACCACTGTCTCAGGTCCCAATTAACTAATTGTGATCACGTAGCAAATACTGATTAGATTTTTCTATTTGGAAAAACCTTTGAGGTATGTTCTATCTGAGCCTAACCTTAGGATTTGGTTATAGATGAAAATACTGATTGGCTTACACTAGAAGAGCTTTCACAGTAATGAAAATGGAAGTTATGAGACTGCACCATGACATATGGAATCTATTCATTAAGTCTCTAGGCTTAAATGTTCTCTTGAGAAAAGGACCGCACTGGCAGGTGGGTGATGGCTCTCCCGTTTACGACAATGAAAAGGCCTGCAGACAAATTCCAGCTAAATCTAATTGCCTCTACTCAGCATGGAAGTTAAGAGGCAATTATGACAGACTAGCAAGAAACTGCACAAGGTGAATTCCTCATTATTATGTGTAACACATGAAAAGCAGGAGCTTGGATAGTGGAAGCTCATTTCAGTGGAGAATATACTGATGAGCAAATGCTATGTTACCTTTAAGTCACCTAGGAAACTGCCTCAGAATGGCAATGCCTTAAGACAAGAGACAGTAACCTGGCACTGGAGATTTTATTTCCAGTTTGTTTTTGGTAAACTGTAGATCTTGGGGATACAATATGTACTCACTCTGCAAACACCTCTTGCTATTACGCAATGTACAGTACCTTTCCCAAGAAGGCCATAGCATGTGAGTTGCCAGCATTAGCTGCTAGACTGAAGTAGTCAAACGCTCTCTGTGAGGAAAGAATTTATTAAAATTAGTTTTTAACAGAATCTGCCCTTGGCTTTTAACCAAAATAATTATTTCAGAACATTAAAAAATCTTGTTATGTGGCCGAATCTCAGCCTAAGTCAATGGCAACATGATATCTATTGGTTGCTCTCAGATACCGTCTCCCCCCGTTCCCTCTCATATCCAATTCATCACTAAGTCCTGTCACCACCAACTACATCCTGAATCCACCTATTATCCTCCGTGACTGTAATTCTGGTCTACGTTACGTCATCTCTCACCTGAACTTCTAAAACACTCTCCGCCCTGCCATCTCTCTGCCTTTTATTCTGGGGTTACCCAAAGCGGCTGTTCTTAAATCTCAGCATGCTGGTCCTCAGAGCGCCTGAAGTGCCGCAGGGAACATACTGCCGCAGTCAGACAATGAGTATCTCAGTACTGCTTCCCCTTGCTCTCTGCACTCTGGGCACACCAGCCTTCTTCCTTCCTGCTTCAGGACCTGTGCGAATACTGTTCTTTTCTGCCTGAAATAATTTTACCTCCAGGCTGAACTTGAGTGTCATCCATCTCTCCTCAGAGACAACTGCCACCCCCCTCTCATGAATCTGTTATTGGACCCTCTACTTCTCCTTAGTAACAATAATCACAATTTACTACGTGTTTTTGGTGTGATCATTTTAAATACATCAAATGCTTCTATTAAACCTTAAAGCTCTGTAAGGACTCAAGGACCAAAGCTATTCTGTCCAGCATTGTATCTGGAATGCCTAGCAATGAATGGCACACAGGAGGTGCTCAATTATTTTTTTAATTAGTACAGGCATGTGCTGGGAACTCCTTTCCTCCCTCTCTGAAGGTTGTGGAATTAATCACTGTGCAGCTTCTCCCCAGGTAGGCAGCACACACCACCAAGAGTAGTTCAAACCTTATTGTGCAAAAGTTATGCAGCAAAATTACCTAGAACTCTGTCCTCTCCTGACAGTTTAATTAACCAGCTTAGCTGATGCTTCACTGGCCTAATGACATATAGTTCAATGACTTGAGGCAATAAAAGCCATCAGAATGCCATATGAATTTTTTAAAAGCATAGATATCTGGCATAGTTTTGTTGATAAGTGTATTTGGTTAAGATCTAATTCTGAGAGTTGACGGGATATGGTATATGAAATAACCCTCATTAGAATAGTTAACTGGCATGGTAGAAAAACAGCTTTATGAGCCTGACAAGCATTCACAGAGAAGTTGCTATGTGCTAGGCACTGCCAGGTGCTGGGGAAAAGTGGCAAACAAGGCAGACACAGCCCATGCTCTTTTGGACCTTATGTTCTAGCAGAGGAATCAATTTAATTAACTAATTTACACAGTTAACTAATTTACAGTGGAAAAGGGTCATAAGGAATACAGATTTTTCAGAAATCCTAACAGAAAATGACCGATTCCTGGAGCGGGGTTGGGTCAGAAGAGATATTAGAAGAAAATATATTGCAGGTGAGTTCTGGAGGATGACCAGGAATTAACAAGGTGAAGAAGGGGTTGGGGCAATATTTACATTAGACGGACAGGCTAGCATTCCAGAAGCCCTGAGACAGAGAGGTTCCTGATATTTTCAAAGACCTGAGAAAAGGTCCGCGAGCCTGTGACTGAGATAGCAAGGGCCTAGTGAGATAAACAGAGATGGATACAGAGCCTTGCAGGTCATGTTAAAGGTTTGGTCTTTAAGCTACTAGAAATTGTGGACCACTCAAGAGTTTTAAGCAAGGGAACCAGAGATCAGATGTATAGTTTACAAAGACAGGCTACTGTTTAGGAAATTCAAGCAGCAGATAATTCACATGAGTGATGGGTGAAGTGATGGAAAAAAGGGAAGATATGGTGACATTTAGGAAATAAAGCAGACAAAAGTTGATGACAGGATATAGACCTGACCACTATAGTTGTATACTCCTAATTTCTCATAAACTCAACAATGAATTTTCCTCAGTTCTATGAAATACTTTCTAATGGAAGTTTTAAGACATACTTCAATCACATATCTATAGAAAATAAAGACATTGTTTATATATTTTTGGCAGTGCTGAGACCTAGGTTTTAGAATTAATAAAATCTTTGCCACCCCATATGAGGTATAATCAGCTTCCTCGGGTTGATAGATCTCTAAAGTTCTTTCTGATAGCTGTCTTAATAACACCAGCTTGATACTGTCATTGACTTAGCAAGAAATATATTTGGAGGATTATTTCTACTATAACAGGTAGTGTAAAGCCCTAGGAACAGGAAAGTTACCTGATGATTCTGTTCCACTCCACGCCCTCCATGCAGGTGCAGTTGTCCCAGACCGACCTGAAAATGAACAAAAATGAGGCAAAAGTTAATGGCAGCATCCGGCATGTGATTACATTAGACCCACAAGAAACCACTTGGTCATAAAGAGGTTTCTGTTTATAACTCAAAAAATAAAAGATTTAGCCTTAACTCCTGAAGATATTACACTACTTTAATCTACATTTTTTTTCAACTGAAAATGTCTGCTTTTAATATAAGGTATCTTACTGAAATGGAGGAGAAATAAAGGCATTTTCAGATAAACCAAAACTGAATCTGCCACCAATGAATCTACTCTAGAGGATGTTAATCAGGAAAAAGGAGAATTACCCTGGGAAGCCTGAAGATACAGCAAGAAATAAAGAGCAGCGGAAAGGCACATTGGTGAGTCTAAATTATATGGATTACCTAAAATAACAGAATCTTGTGGGGTTCAAAAATATGTAGAATTAAAACACACACACTCAAACCAAAAGAAGGTAAGAAAGAAGAGAAAGCCTGGCCGGGCGTGGCTCAGTGACTAAGCATTGACCTAGGATCCAGGAGATCACGGTTCGATTCCCAGTCAGGGCACATGCCCGGGTTGTGGGCTTGATCCCCAGCAGGGAGCATGCAGGAGGCAGCCGATCAATGACTCTCTCATCATTGATGTTTCTCTCTCTCTCTCCCTCTTCCTTCTTCTCTCTGAAATCAATAAAGATATATTAAAAAAGAAAGGAGAAAAAAAAAAAACATGGAAAAGTAAAATAAAAGATAGCAGTAAGATAGGAAATTTAAACCTAAATATATCATTAATTACTCCAATTAAGACTGTCGGAATGGATTAAAAAAAACAAAAACTAGTCATATGATGCTTACAAAAGACATACCTTAAACATAAGAAGGTTGAAAGTACAAGACAGAAAAGGTATTCCATGTAAGTAACTAACCAAAAACAATAGTGTCTCTATGCTAGTAAACCATTTCCAGAAATAAGAGGACATTTCAGATAGAAAAGTCAGTTCAACAGAAAGATAACAATAGTAAGTCCATATGCTCTCAACATGGCCTAAAGTACGGGCTGGGGCAAAAATAGATTTATAGTTGTTCATATAGAAAATAAAGCAATAGCTAATAAATGATAATACAAGAATAAACTCTGTGCTTCAAGTACTCACTACTGTAAACCTACCTTTGCCCCACCCTGTATACAAATCAAGACTGACAGAACTAAGAGTAGAAAGAGACAAACCCACATTCAGAGTGGGAAATCTAAACAATACTGTCTCAGTACTGGACAGAAAAAGGAGACCAATTCAGTAGGAACTCAAAAGATTTGAACGACAGGATTAGGAAACATAACTCAATTGACACACATAGATCACTGTAAACAATGACTGTAAAATTCATATTCTTGCCTGGTCAGTGTGGCTCAGCGATTGAGCATCGCCCTATGATTCTGAAGATCTCTATTTGATTCTAGGTCAGGGCACATGCCCGGGTTGAAGGCTCAATCCCCAATGTGGGGCGTGCAAGAGGCAGCCGATCAATAACTCTCTTATCATTGATGTTTCTATCTCTCTCCCTCTCCCTTTCTCTCTCTGAAACCAATAAAGATATATTAAAAAAAAAAAAGTATCTATTGCTAATCTCTGTATTCCTGAATCAGAAAGAACTGTAAACTTAATAGAAAAAAAAGATGTTGAAGTTCTCCTTTTTATTATGTCATCAAAATATCCCACGAAACAACAAATTATATGATACTTTGATGGATATCTACATTTACAATAAACACACCTATTTCTTTCTGTTCTTTTTTTAAAATATATCTTTATTGATTTCAGAGAGAGGAAAGGAGAGGGAGTGAGAGAGAATCATCAATGATGAGAGAGTCACTGATCGAGCCCGCAACCCGGGCATGTGCCCCTACTGGGAATCGAACCCCAATCGCCTGGATCCTAGGTTGACGCTCAACCGCTGAGCCACGCCCGGCTGGGCTTCTTTCTGTTCTTGACTTTGAGAAAATTATGATCTAAGATAAGCAAAAGAAACATGAACAGCAAGTAGTTCTGAAGAGCATCTGAAACTCCAGATGTTCCAGAGACTTTTTGTTTAGAGAAAGTGACAGTTTCTGTCCTTAGTGACTCCATGAAGAGCCTTCATCATCATTGTAATGCTCCCATCAAGCAGCGGTTTTCAACTGTGGTGCACAGCAGAGACACCTGCTGGGTTTTAGGAACCATGAATGCCTAGTCCGCATCCCAGAAGAATCCAAATGGAGTATCTTGAGAGTGTGGGACTAGTGTGTAGCTAATAATAATGTTCCGAGTAACTGCTGAGAGCAATAGAAGTGTTACTTACAGATGTAGTGCTTGCCCCGGGACCGTCATACAATGCATTAAGCACATACCTGTGCTTGCACATCCCCCTTTTCAGCCAGGAACTGGTAATACTGAATCAAATCTTCCTCTAGCATCCCACTGTTCATCCCTGGGTTTTCCACCTCGTCTGGCAGCCGTATTCTCTGTACTACGGAGCCTCCTGTCAGTGAGATGTCACTAGCAACTGAAACAGAGGGACAAGGGAATGATGTGGACGAAAGTGAGGACTATCCCACAGAGAAGTACAGTTCCAGCTGCCAGGTGTTCACAGACACCATGGTACAGGAAACTGTTCCTACAGCTGTCTACAGAATACAAAACAGTAATCTAGAGTAAACTTAGCTTTTTCCACAAAATATTTAAGTAGAGCCCATAGCAAAATTTAAAGAAAGGTACGTACTTCTTAGTCAAGTAGTGTAAAGATGATTCCACTTGAAAGAGCCATTTATTTCAAGTAGTACAATAAAAGTAGATGCACTTAAAATTAATTGGTTTTTTTTGGTTTTGTTTTTTGTTTTGCAAGATGAAAGGCAAAAAGATAGATACCATGATTGGCGACGAGACGGTAATGAGTCAGTGCGGATTCACAACTCTGCAGGACTCCAATGCCGGCCCAGTAGCGGTAACCCTGTAACACAGCCTCAGTAAGAAGAAGGCAGTTTCACATGCTTCAGTGCATCCTGGCTGGAACAAACACAGCTAACCATCCTCACAACGCAATTCTGCTGTCCTCCCATCCAAGGACACTATAGGACACTATCACCTCATTTGTCCTGAGTTTTAGGTCATGAGGCAATTTATTTAGCCACTTCAACAATCAGACTACAGCTAAGAACTAGGAAATAAAAAATAAACTTCCCAGAGTAATCAAAATAGATGCAATGAACTTTATGTGTGCAGTGTACGCATTTACCTATAGAAGAAATTACAGACTTTATTCTTAGTTTAGACACAATTTTAACAAAAAAGGGTTAATCTTCCAAACTAGCAAAGAAGCAACAAATCAGCAAAACAGTGAGGTCAAGGGACTACTAGAAGGAGCCCAGCAATAAGTGACCTCAGAATAAGGGGAAAGATGGCTAATTATAAAGAGCAAGGAACAGAAAGTAGAGCTCTCTAAAGTCATTTAGCACAGACTCAAAATAACTTTACAAACTTTAACAATACTTAGGGAATTACTATATAACAGCATGTATGATATTTAATGTTCTTATTCCATAGCCACTGCTGAAGACTGGTAAGTAACTAGAACAAACTCTTATATTTCACTTATTTAAACTCCCTCAGCGATTGAGCCTTGTAAACAGGACCAAGTCCACGTAAACAGGATAAAGTCCATACTGCTTGGCATGATGCACAGCTGCTTATGTGATTCCTGTCTACCTACCCTACTCACAAACTACCTGGCATTCTACTCTCCAGCCACTTAAGTGCTTGTGTTTTCTTGCAAACACCACGTCCTTCCTGTTGCTGTCCCTCTGCATACTATATTGCTCATGCTGGCCTGGACACCCTCTCCTTCTTCACTGACTCACTCACCACAATTTATCCCGTAAGAACCAGTTTCTTTCCTCAGAAGAACCTCCTTAAATCCCTCTCCTTCCAATGCCAGTGCGGGTTAGACGACTTTCTAGGTGATTCCCTGACATTCTCATGCTATGCTACAATGGGCTCCTTACTTATGCCTTCCTGTCTCAAGTTTGTTGCGAGCCAGAACTATATCTTATTCCTCTTTGGAATCCCAACAACATGTACTCAATAAATATTTTTGGAATATACAGGTAAAACTAGTTAGGATCCACCCAGCTGGCTAGAGAAGTAGATTTTCCTTCTTTTTAAGTCTCATGTCTCATCAATGACCAAGCCTATAGACCCATTTCCAGATTTTGGACTGGTTTTCCTGCTTTCGGTCTTATTTCTGCTCAATCTACCCTTTATATTCCTGTAAGAATGAACTGACATATTCATTTGAAACATAGTAATGTGGGCTAGAGGTCATGTGACTTAGCCACAGTCAGTTTAAAGTACAAGGCACATTAAACACCCCAGCAGTAAAAATTTCAGTGGAAAGATTCTCCATGTTACCACTAAGCCACTTAAGTGATCAATTTATCCGATGACACATAAAAGATACTCTGTAATGAACTTTATAGGACCACTAGTTCTTTATAGTAAGTCCTCCATCAATTTCAATGTAAAATCTATAACAACCAATCTAAAAAAATGACTCTGATAAACAGTTCCAACTTACAAAAAATAATTTAAAAAAAGAGTGGTTTATCAGATATTTATTTCAAGGGCAATCAGCCAAACTAGTCATTTTCACGAAAAATTGTGAACTCTTACCAATTTTCATCCACAGATAGATTCAATTATTGTATTTATTAATAAGAAGAATGTCCAATTGAGTATTTGGTCATGTGAATATAGGTTAACCTCAATCATGAAAGTCAGAAAAGCCATGGCCATTTGTTAACCAAAACTTCTTCTGCTACTCAATATTACTATCCTTCCATTTAAGTCTTACTTACCAAAATCATGTGGGCTATTAAGTTGCCTCCAAGAGCTCCAAAAGTATAATATACAAGGGCCTGTGAATGAACAAAAGATGCTTAACTGAACATAGGAACATATATTTACTCAATTCAAAATGTCACGTATAATGAAGTTTTAATAATATTACCTTTGCCTGACTTGAATTAACACCAAGTCCGGAGGCATAGAGAAAGCCAAGGGCCTGAAATAAAATGATAAAAGAATTCTTCTTTGATGAAGGTTTATCCAAGACAGGCATAGTTTTATGAATTATGAGAAGAGAAAAGGATCTTTAAATGCTAAACAATTTGAGCTGTTCCAAGTATGTACAGCTTGGATTAAAGAGCCTCAGAAACGCATTCAAGGTTTTACAAATTACACAATCACAATGAAATATAACTAAATAAGTCATACTGTTTAGCTTGAAGATTAAAGATAGTTTAATAAATTATTAACTAGGAAGACAAGGCTGAACACAAGCATGGCTTTTACTTGATCTTGATGAACAGCTGTTATAAGAACAGAACAATTCCTATATCATTACATCAATGCAAAGGGGCACACACAATGAAAATGGGTAAGAGATTGCCAAGAGGCACTATCCCAGGAACACAAATAGGCAGCCAGGGGTTAAGTTGAAGCAGTAAGGAAGAAAGGTCACTTTACAATGCTAGAGCACACAATTTTCTAAAAAAAGTCAACCAACCAAACAATGCACTAGTCAAGTCCTACTCTGCTCTCTGAGGGTCTTCCTCAGTGACATCAAACTATAAGCAAAAGTTATAAAGGCAGGGACTAGTCTCATCAAAACACGAGCTCTCTTGCATTTCCTGGTGTCCCTTGTAGTTATGTAGGGTTATGTGCCTGGGATGTGGCCAGAAGGGATGTAAGCCATTTTTAGACCTGGCTTTTAAAAACATCCCAGGAAAGCCTCCAGCCCTCTCTTCATGGCCTAGAAGCCCCATGATCCAGAGGGTGTAGTGATATGCAGGAAGCAGCCCTTGACCCTCGGTCACCATTTAGAAGAGAGGGATGCAGGCAGGAGAGCTGCATGGAACCCGGCATAAGAAGAAACACCTGTAGTGTTAAGACACTGTGATTCTGGTGCTTTGTTCCATCAGCTAGAATTAATTACTGCAGAGAGAGTGTTTTGCAATATATAAAGCACTGTGGCATTATAAGGGTCTATTATTAGAGGGAAAAGATGCCTTAAAAGTATTAAACTATTCTCCAGACCAGAATGTGTCTGAAGATAAAGAATATATATGTGAATATCATATAAACTGATTTATACAAAGAAGAGAAAAATGCTTTGAAAACAAAAGCAGCATTTAAGACATAACCTGTTTATAAACTAAAACCAAGACTACCTAAGAGTTGCGGTCTGTTTAGGTGTTCAGTCCTACAGAAAACAATGGTCACAATTCTTGTTAATGTTGAAATAGCCTGAAAACAGGCTTCTTCTAGCTGTGACGAGAAATTTTATCTTTAAGCTAATCCAAGACCTTCAATAAACCTGAACTACTGAAGGCATTTTGCATAAATGAGGTGGCCTCCTAAATCCAGGTGTCAACCTTACCATTGCTAATGGGGAATCAAACAGACATTATCAAATGGTGTGACGTAATATGGAAGAGGAACATCCCCATAATGCAGTCTAGCCAGAAATATTTTACTTGAGTTACAGCCTTTAGCTGTGACATCCAGTTTATAGGAAATATAGATGATGAAAAACAAACTAAAGGACACCATGAAGAAGTAAATAGATAAACTGAGGTAGGACACTCTACAGAAAAACTGGCCCTTTATAACACAGAAAAAAAGAGAAAGGAAGTGGTTATGCTAGAAATAACAACCAAATATAAAGGAAAGTCCTGGACTGGATACTGGTTTGGACAAAACAGGTATAAAGGAAATGTTTTATTCAACAGTGTCTGAATATGGTATGAGTATATGATGTAAAAAATTACTAGGATGAAAAGGTGAAGGTTGATGATTGAAAAGGGCACATAATGGAACAGTAGGGCACGTAAGGGCACGTAATTTAATTTATTAATTAAAATAAATTCCTTATTTTAATAAAGAATTTGTATGTATCTACACACAAAGAGAAAGGTCTGGAAGGGTGTGCATGTACTAACATATTACCAATGCTCATGTCTAGCTGGTACATATGTGATGTTTACTTTCTTAGCATTTTTAGTTTTCTAGTTTTTATAATGGACAGGTACTGCTTCTATAATAGGTATTTTTTTTAAACACCAAATTAGTAAGAGCTGGAGCATCTGAACTTTGGAAAGAAATGCAATGGTGAGTAATTTCAGGTAAAAGCCAATTACCTTCATGTTTCATTCTCTACAGATCTAATTTGGAAAACTACAAACATAATTGTGGCAAGATGCAACAGCAAAACGTGTTAAGTGACCATAAATGTTCTCAGACAAAGGAAAAAGATTGTCTAAGAAGATTGGTAAAATCATCTGCCACAAAATTAATATTTAAAGGTATTTTACCTGCCATTCTTATTTGTCAAAAGAAGTCAGGGCATAAAGAGTAAACTGCAGTTAAATAAACAAGTGCTGTGTGTGAAGAGATTCTCCAATGAAAGTACACTTACAGTCTGTCCCTTGGGAGAGCCTTCCTCAGTCAACTTCTCAAACATCTGTTTAGCTGCCTGGATGTTCTGTGTCAGGTAATCACCAAACAAAAGAGCATATGACACTCTCTCCAGGGCCTTGGTATGGTTCATGCTTGCTGCCTTTTGAAGATACCGATATGCTCTTTAAATGTAAACAATTAAAAAACACATTAGCAATACTTTGGAACCTTCTTCATTAAATTTTTTAAAGATCTACTGAAATGCAACATAAATGATTTCCTTATTCTATAGTCATATTAGTTGTGTATATAGACAACATTCTGGCTACTTTGTTTTTACATAAAGTACCAGTACTGTCATCCTAATATCCTACAATAATCTAATTACACTAATAGTAATTCTCAAAACTATTAAAAACATTAACTACATGTGCAATGAAAGAAGTGTAATAATATGGTGTCCAGTAAATAATCCAATGATAACCATTGCAATTTTCTTTTTAAATATTTGTACAGACTGTAACAGAAGTCGGCTGAAATTGAAGGGACATAAAATATTAGGAGATAGTCACTTGTTTTACGTTCTTTCCAAGTGTAAATTCCTAAATTCTAGTCTTTGTCTCCAAGAAAATTACAAAGCAAATACAAAAAACTAAACACCTGGCAATTCCTTAGTTTTATTTTATGTCATTTTAAATTCTGAATAGCGTATATATTCTTGGTTCTTAGGAACTACAACGTTAGTCAGTTATCTCCATTTTGCTCACTGTTCATTGTTGTGATCAGTATTTACCACCTTTTTCTCCCAACAAGCTAAAATCTGGTCAAAGCAATGCCACTGAGGTCCATATATGGTATTCAATTTTTTGTACTGCAACTTAAGAAATCCTGTTTTGGCAAAACGCTTTTTAAAAAGTACATAGTTTTTTCTCTCTGTGACAGCCTATCTGAGGGGAGGCATGGACTCGGCAGTGCTACCTACTCTCTTTTTTGGCTTTTCTTATTGCTTCCATTGAGGATTTTCATCCCAGTCTGGTACATCATTTCTGCTTCCTGCATTTGCCGTCTTTTAGTAGCCTCTTCTTCAGCTAAAAACAAAATGTCAGATGCACTTAAATGGATTTTAATTCTACACCAATTATTTATCACACACCAACATGTATTCTGCCTTTTGGGTAGTCATACAAACACAATTACTGATCTTTCACTCTTTACAAAGCTGACTCCAAAGACACATGATTTAAGTGTGGCCTTTTACCTGACAAAAGATAACTTAAAAAACACACAACTCATTTAAACCACTTTCAGAGGAAGCAATATCAACCTGCTATTGGGGGTACTTTTTTGCTAGCAATTCTAAAACTTTTAATGTAATTTAACCAAAATTTCAGTAGTAGCTTATGATTATATGCCAAGGTCAGCTAAAATGAGGACAAAAGGATACTGATAAATAGAAAAATACCATTTTAGTCAAAGGACACTTTAGCCTCACCTGAAATGCTATATATCTTTGTAAGGAGAAAGTATTTAATGAATTACATAATAAAAAATTTGCAAAAAATTGACTTTTATTAAATATATTTCTTGACTAATGTTCTCTTATTTTTTTCTATGCATTGATACAATACTGAAAATCACAGTGTTGTTACAGATTTCTCAAAAATTACTTTGCTACTGTAATATAGTACTGTACCAGAAATCTAGAACTCATTAAAAGACATCTGAATATTTCATTAGGATCAATATTTCTAGAAACAGAAGTGAGTTCTTGTATATTAAAAAATCTGATTGTATTACACCAAGTACCTAATCATACTGGCCTACCTCCAAGGATGGGCTATATCTGATGTTATCTTCTAGGAACGCCTAATTATCTATCGGAGCCATTATTCTGAAAGTGTTATTTGGAATCAAGGGAGATATGCTCAAGACTTTCTGTTGTTTTTTAATAGTTATAAAGCTGTTCCTGAAAAAATACCTTTAGAGGTCAGCCCTTTCATACTGACATTAATATGCTGGAAAGTTAAATATACATAATTTGTCAAATGTTACCTAAGCACAGCACATCTTACTCAAAGTGTTTTTTAAAGATTTTTTAAAAACTGATTTTAGAGCCTGGCTGGGTGTGGCTCAGCAGTTGAGCATCAGCCTAGGATCCAGGAGATCACAGTTTGATTCCTGGTCAGGGAACATGCCTATGTTGTGGGCTCGGTCTCCAATGGGGGCGTGCAGGAGGCAGCCGATCAATGATTAATCATTGATGTTTCTATCTCTCTCTCTCCCTCTCCCTTCCTCTCTCTGAAATCAATAAAGATATATTTTTTTAAAAAAAAATTGATTTGAGAGAGAGAGAGGAAGGGAAAGAGAGAAACATTGATGTGAGTATGGAACATCAATGGGCTGCCTCCTGCATGCTCCCTACTGGGGAATCAAGCGTGCAACCCTTGAAAGTGCCCTATTACTTTAACAGGAAACCTCTTGGGACACAGGACAGCGCCCAACCAACTGAGCCACACTGGCCAGGCCTCAAAGTGTTTTTTAAAAGGTATTATTTTTCTTCTAACCACTCTTAACCTTCCATAATGCTGTTTCCTTTACTGTTAAAAAATGTTTTACATTTAACAATTTAGCAGGCTGCCTGAGGGTTTGCAGAATAACTTGTGCATGTAACAGAAAACCATCTCTAAATAAGACACAGTGTGATAAGCTGCCCGAGTGACAGGCTGGAAATAAGTACACTACATGCTTCCTGTGCTGAAGTCCATTCTTTAAGGCTGTAACCACATTATCAACGCTGACCATGTCTGTCAAGGGTGGGAAACAGATGGCTAGAGAAGGCCTTAAAGATGCTGTCCAAGGCATCAGCAATGTGGACATGCCTCCTACGGATCAATACTTACTTTCACAAAAGCCCCACTTTTCATCTGCCTTGTAGTCATAGGTTGTAGCACACCACAGCCTACCATCTTCCCTCCCATCTGAGGTACACTCGTCATATTCCTTATCCAGGAAAAGAAAAGGGAAGTGGCAGGGTGCCCCATGTGCTGTGCCTTCAATGGCTGTCAAAGCTGGAAAAATAAAAAGAAATCGAAACATGAACAGCATCTGTGGTATTCTTGTTTAACACTGTCAATTTTAACTACTAGAATTTAAAGACGAAGATACATGATTTGGAATGGGGAACATAAAAAGCCCAGCACCAAGTCCATTCGGGGATGACTTGAAGGTGAGTCAACTTAGCCGACTACCCAGCTCTGTATCTAGCTTAGGATTTCTGATGGCCTTGAGATACAACAACTTTAGAAGGCCGTCTACCGTACAACTTCTGCCTAACTAGTGGGCAAAAGGTAAGGCAAATGCGAATGAATCAATTCCACTGCTCGGCACAACTCTCCTCTTTTCGATTTGACTGCCGTAAGTCAATTTCTTCAATAATATAAAGTTATACGGGAAAATGATCCCCCAGGCAAAGTTAATCACTCATGTACTACTCTGTGATCCCAAGGCATTTTATCAGAGCACTTACCATACATACTGAGGTTCTTTCTTTACCATACACAGCTCCCACTAGACTTTGGGCTTGTTAAGGTTGGAGACCATGTCTCCAATTTGTTCCCTAAGTTCTGAGTATCTCCTAGATGCTGGGAATGAGGTGGAGCAGAGGTCTCTGCTCTACAGAACTTACTGTCTACCAAGGAAAAGAGACATTAAACAAAAGTGTGACCCATGTGATGGAAAGGAAAGCCTCCTGTCAGGAACTGAAGTTTACACTGAACCTCACGGATGTATAGAAGCACGAAGTGGTTGAAAGGCTGCAGGGTGGGGCAGGGAGAAGTATTATAGGCAGAGGGAACACGTGTGTTAAGAATCAAAAGAAAATAAGCATGGTACATTAGACAAAATAAATAGTTCATTGTTAGGATGGTTTACCTATGGCCTGTTTTACTCAATAAGTTTTATTTAACATTTTCGTCCAAGCATGTTTTTTCTCCATAGTTTGGGGCCACTGACACAAGCAAGCCCATCTGCAAGCAAAGACAGGACCTGACCATTCTGCTTGACCAAGGCTACACCCGCAAAACATCCTGTTATCCTCCAAGACATCCTGTTACTCTGACAATTCTTCACGGCCGGCGCCCGCAACACTGGCCCTGCACTGTACCCCATCTTAAGCCCCCATACAAGAAAGCCTGACTCCACTTGCGGGGCTGACACCGAATTGTTGGTCTCAGCCCACTGTGAGAGGGTGCTTCAATAAAACCTTCGAAAACCTCTCAGTGCTTCTCCGCCTGGTTCCTCTCGGCACTGACCTAATATTCAGGAGGCCGGAACATGCAGCATGAGTGCCACAGCGGAAGAGAGGAGAGGCTAAAGAAGCATGAAGAAGCCTGATTAGGGAGGTCCTGGCAAATCTTATTAAAGAGTTTGGACTTTACCTGAGAACAATGGAACTCACTTAACAGTTTTAAGTAGAAGTGACACGCTCATACTTGCATTTTATTAAGACAGCGGACAATGTAAAGGAGGCAAACAAGGCTGGATGCAAGGTGACTGTCTAAAGCTGTGACAGTAATCTAATGAGAGGTAATGAAGCATAAAGGGGATCAGGGAATGAAAGAAGGGGAAACACTAGTGATCCTGAGGAAGTAGAAACGGTACTATTTACTGACCGACCAGATGTGCAGATGAGAGGAGAGAGGCGGCAAGGAAGGCTCCCAGGTACTAGGTTTCAGGAAGCAAGTAGGAGGTTGTCCTCACTAAGATAGAAGCACCACCCTAACTGATAGAAGTGACTCACTGTACCTAAATAGTTTGGAAAAATAACGTGGTTTATGCTCAACATCTGTTTTCCTTCTCAAGTCTGTAATTTTGGTACATGTTAGAGAGTGATTACGAGATTAGCCACCATTAAAAACTTAAAGTGCTGGGTCTCTAATGAGCTTCCCTGGAAGGTAGCATTTCACGTGTTGTCACATGTGCTACGGGATTTAAGTGCGTCCTGCGTGGCTCCCCTTGGAAACTTGCACCTGGATTCCTTTGAACCTTGCCCCATGCTGATTTTGCTTTGTGTTCTTTCACTATAATAAATCACAGCTGTGAGTACAACTATATGCTGAGTCCTCCCAGCAAATCACTGAACCTAGGCACGGTTTTGGAGACCCCCAACATTAGCTGGCATCAGACGTGGCGTTTGCTAGAATGAATGACCCTAACTCACTAAAATATGGTGGAAGCGTTTAAGAAAGGAAGGACAGGGGCAGGATAGGATGGATCTCTGGTGCCTGGTGAGTCACCGTGGTTACGGAGTCACCGTGGTATGCAGCAGCAGCTGAGCCGCTGTGTTGTGAGAGGTAAAAGTTACTTGCGGAATTTAAGGACAGATCCAACTCCAGGAGAGCAGGCTTGCTGGATTCCTCAGCTGCTTTGGGCCATGCTGGCTAAAGTGATAGTGCCTTTGGGTATGTCCTCTCCTCCAGATGAAGGAGGAAGGACTCCCAAATTCCCGAAGGTGAATGGGTCAAAATGTTAAAAACAGTGGGCTGGGGGCAGTGGTGAGGGGAAGGGAGTTAAATCAGGTCCCAGGGCTGGAGGCAAATTGTAGATAAACCAGAAAAAAAGGGAGGAAGGTAACATTCCAGCAGTTTTTTCCCAGCCTAGCTGCTGCTGCAGTAGCCTCCCCCTTCCTCCTCTGCATTCCAGCTGGATCCCTGGCAGCTGTGAAGTTAACAATGCAAATACTAAAGTCACTGCAAGGAGCTGAAGTAAATTTGCAGTGGGGGTGGGGGAAGGAAATGACAGTGGCTCTGTACTTTGTGGCTATCACATCTGAATGTATGGTAAAAACTGATATAAAGTGTTAAATGCTTGTAATTCCATATATGCCAGGGGAATCATCCTGACATCAGGGAAGCTGCACTAAAAGAAATGTATCAGGGGGACACATCTCCCATGCTTTTTGCCACTGGTGGGCGCGGTGGAAGTTAAAGTCTTTGTGTACTGGAAACAGATCAAGTTTCTGTAACTGATGGGTTTTGCTATTGAGGAGGAGCAGAGTTTGCCAGCCAAAAATATGCCTTTTTGAGATATCATTTATTTTAAGCTGGTTATTCTTTAAAAACAAAAGGCTCAAGAAGAGCCTTTTACCTGCCCCTCCCCCCTCACCTGCCTAAAGGAATTCAGATTTTAAAAACACCTGTTCCAGGAAGGGAGATTACCTTAGGGTAGTATGAATTAAGTGTGGCAGACTGAAAAACCAGACTCCTGGTGTCCACTGTTTCTGGGTGGCCCTGCAAGAATTTGTTCACCAAATATTTTTTCCTCCCCACCTACCTGTGAATTGCCTATCTTCCCTTTGAAGCCCAAACCACTATCCCAGGCTCCCTTCTCCTTAGCTCAAAATGGCATTAAGTCTCAACTGCCCGTTTGTCCATCCATCCCACAGTCTTCCGGAACCCCATATGTGCATATGTAATAAACTTGGTTACTTTCACCTGTTAATCTGTCTCATGTCTATTTTATTATTAGACCAGCCAGAAGAACAATGAGGAAAAAGGGGAAATTTCCACTCCCTCACACTATGGATGATAAAGAACTTTTGCTTATTGAAGCCTCTGGCAAGAGGGAGACATAAAGAAAGAGAGGTGATATGCAGATGGAGATAGACTTTTGAAGTTCTAAGAAACAGATTTTGGTTTGCTAACAAGTGCCTGTGAAAGCAGAGGTCTGACCCTTAGAGACTGACGTGCATGTCTGTAACTGGTTCCATTTGGACTCAAAGGCAGACAAGACAAAGGGGTGGAGGAAAGGGTTGGCTGCCACCTGGACTTCCTGGCACTGCAGCATCTTGTCTTTGCTGCTGCCATAGAAATGTCTCTGGCTTTTCAAAAATCTTGAATTTACAAATCCTAATTGCCTGGGCTTGATTCTAAGCTACAAGCTGATACTGTCTGGTACAGGCTCCAGGCTCCGCATGAGCTGTGCTGAAGTGAAAGCAGGCCTGGGCTCGATAAACAGAACTCACACACTGTGACCTCTGCACATGAGGTTACCTCTCTGTGGGCTACACTGTGAGGAAATCATGAATGTTGGGCTAACCTGTCTGAGTCACAGACAAATGCCCACAGGAAAGGGCTTGTTCTTTGCTGGGACCATCTGGAATCACACTGCTGGCTAGCTGTATCTCCTGACAGAGACTCACTGAACCTGTGACTATTGCCCAAAGCTACAAGTTGGGAGAGGATACCTCACAGGGACTGTGACCCTCCACTCCCTGCTGACAGATGGAGAAGGTTCCTGACCCCCTCTGGAACATGTCTCCCTGCGGCTCAATCCTTGTGCCTGGCTCTCCTGATTAGCTGCTGTTTGCAACAATCGACTGATGTCCTGACTCTGCTTCCCTCACCTTTCTCCTAGCGTACTCACCGCAGTGCAATCTGATTATTCATTGCAGCGCTCCTCAGAAAGGGCTTGACCTTTCCTAGGCTGCTCACTGGCCATGCGGAAGGAGGTTATGTAAACTGATTTTGAAATTTTTTGAAAATTCAGGATTTTGTCCTGATCAGTTCCTCAACATGATGTCTTTCTAGTTACGTTGTACAAAAATGTTTTTCTGTGAAGATGTTTCGCTCCTCTGGCATACAACCCCTCCAGACGAAAGGTCTGGATGAGAGTAGGGGATGATTGAAAAAATATAAAATTATGATTACTGGATGGAAACACTGATTTTGCAACAACCAAGGAAAATAAACCCAAACCCCTGCACCTAGAGAGGCACAAGAGAGGGCGAACAGTTATGATCTTTGTTTTTCAAAACTTTTCCCAGGAACTTCGCCCTTTTCCTAAAGGAAAGCTCTCTGCACCTTTCTAAGCTGTTTAGAGTACTCTGAGTTCCAACAGCTGAGCCCATGATCACACCTGACAGGGCTGACTCAGGAGGTGGCTCAGCCCCTGCACTTTCCAAGCTAAAACCTCCAGATGTTGTCCACATTGGTGAGGTGGATGAACTGCTGTCATGGACAACAAAACCATTTGGAACTGATTGGCAGTCTCTCTGAAACCAAGAACCAAA